ATAGTCTGGATATAAATTTGAGTACAAAATTGAAACTTTCAAGGCTAAGGGACATAAATATATACCATTATTATGGCTCATCCGTGGGTTTTCACCTTTTCAAACCTTACCTTCATGTCTGGTTTAAGGGAGTCATGGAAAATTATCAGAGTCAACTTATTTTACCATTTATGGCTTGAGAAATGCTTCTCTAGATCTGCCATCACTTTTTCTTTTTTTGCTTCTATGAGAAAGCTCACAGTTTCATTTCATGGAAGGGCAGCACTAAAATGGCAGAGGCAATGCATATTCATGCTGAGTGGCACTAGCAAAAATGTGTATGTACATTTAAGTGTATGTGGCTTAGTGGGTGGATTAGGAGATAAATTTGCACAGCCATTGTTCATATACTTAAAATATTATACACAACTTCAGGAAAAAAGACAGGAGGTTTCCTCCTCAACTTCAGATAAATAATCTCATTAGTCTTCTGGAAACGTATGCTAAAGAGCTCACTTGTTTTTCTGTGTCATTTAGCTGGGTCTTGACAGTTTCTGAGCAAGTTTTATTGTTTGGTTGGGAATTATTTTAGATCTTCAATCAGAAAAAATCCTCAGGCTTACGAAATTCTCCTTGGCAACACACTGAAAACCTAGTGTCCTCTGATGCCTCTGATTCTTATGTGATCGGGAACACTAATGATAATGACCCTTTGCTGAGTATGCTACTTGTCTAGAGGCCTATGTCAACTACACCACTACATCCAGAGTGGACAGGGACAAACTATTTGTTTGCTCTTCAGGCCCCTTGGGCCCTGTCATATGCTATTTGTTCTTGCATTAAGAGGTAGTTTGACTCGGCTGGGCTGACATTTCCTTCAAGTCAGTGTATTCCACTCAGGCAGTAGCAGCTACCAAAGCAATAAGTACAGACTTGAGGCGCAGCAACAATCATTTAAGTGGCTTTTTTGATTCATATCCAGGGCTTTTCGCATTTTTACTGGTCATTCTGAATCCCTGAATCCAAAATGACACATTTTTTTAAAAACTAGCTTTGCTATTCGATATTCAGGCAACGTAGCCTCCTCATAGTTAATGTGGCTGCTCATCAATAACACACCTCAGAATCTGCAACTGAGATGATGAACAAGGACTGATACTGCTGCATGATACCAGAGGCATTGATCAGTTCTACTTTTCTTCTCCACCTCATGAAGGATACCTGATATGTGACTACTCTCCCAGTCACAACCTGCCTTCCTTTTCCTTCCATTGCCTATTTAAATTTTACTTTTTACTGTAATAGGATGTCCTTGTGTTCACATCTTAACTTATATTTTTTCCTGTTGGAGTTCCAGTTATTTTTAAAAAGTATCCATGCTCTTGTGCCTTTAATGGGACAAACTTTTGCTGATGTAAAATGGGTAAAAACAGTCATGACAATGCTGAGTATTTTTCTGGTTAATTTGCATTTGTAGGTATTGTTGGAATTTGAAAGATTTGTTTCTGATTGATTAGACTCTTCTAGTATTGCATCAGTGTGATTCTGCCCATGCCATTTGATGTGATGCAGCATTCAGTTAGAACAGTGACTTCCTAAATATGAGTCTAGACCATCTGTGATGCACACAAAGAGCATTTGTATATCAATTGTCTATTTATATCAGTTAGTAATATGTTGTAATTTAGAGTCATTAAAAAGGTGCCCTTAAAAAGGTTTCCAATCCATCTATCCATTTCATATTTGGTAATGCAGATTTCTACTTATGTGTTAGTAAATCTCAAAAACTCCCATTCTCTGACCAGGTCAGACCACTTGTCATCGGGTCCCAGGGAATCCCTGTGATACCATTTCCATCCTCTGTTCTAATCAAGCAATACAAGAAGTCAAAGTTTTGTCTGATAGCATAATACCCTCCACCACTGGGGGAACCTAAAACCTACGCAGCACTTTCAACATTATCTTAACTGTAGGGCTGCTCAGAATGATTCAAAAGTCACAATTTGGATTTCAATTTATTAATGAATTTTTCACATATTTGTTGTTTTCATACTCCAGACTTCTTGGCTTCCCGGCTCCTCCTAGATCCTCTGGATCTCAAACCACAGCTGAGAAAAAGTTTGCAAAATGGCCAGCTATTTCTGGGCAGGTGGAACAGGGGCAAAACTGACTTGAAAAAGGAGTTTTTAAAGCAAATTTACAAAAAAACTTCTAAAGATAAATATCAGCTACAGACAAGACAGTGCTTTAGCTGATTTACCTCTTGGGTACTTCTAGCTGACATGCACTAAAGATTTCTGGGCAGGAAAGCAAGTACCTGTCACTTTCTGTAATTTACAAGGATACGAAATAGCAGATTATACAGTCCACCTTTGTTCCAGAGAGGAGAAAAGAGTTTGACCATTACAAACAAATCTTAACAGAGCTCTCTTCTGATTCAATCCGCTTTGTCTTTTCTAGCACCTTGGACCAAAGTTAAGTCAGTGTAGATAAAGAGTAAAAGGAAGAGACGGTTGGGTCTGGGGAGAAGCTGAGGGTGCCAACACTGGGCTGGAGAATAAATTTAGCAGCAACAGAGATGAGGAAGAAAACAATGTCTGGATTTGGAAGCTTGGCAAGTTCTCCACTCGCTGCTCAACCTGTGTTTAGCAATTCTGATGTGCTACTGAGCAGACAGCTCAGGCTCAGGACGACTACTCTCCCTCAGTCCCTCTTCAGCAGGCAATGAAAGCAGGCTGTACTTTGAAAATCTTCCCCCATCATGCAAACTGACACAGGCATGCTTTTCAAAAACCCACAGCCAATCTGTTGATCATTACTTATTTACAAAGGCCTTCGGGCAGAAAGTCCTGTAAAAACCATACTTGATACGGTATACACTAGCTTTTTCTGCTTGTGGAAAAAAGTACCCCTAAGGCTACCTCAAACCATCACTTTCTATTGCACATAAAATGTACCGTGTAACACTAAAGTATTTAATATATATGGTATAATATATCTACAGCAAAGGCATTTGTGTAGAAGTATGTTACCCTGTATTTGGTAATTTGATGTTTTGCTGAAGGCTATGACTTGAAAAAGCCTGCACCTAGTACAGAGGACCTGTCATCTCAGTACCCAAGAGCCAATAGAATAAAGAAGTACCCTTAAGCAGCAAAACTTTGACACAGCTTTGAAGCATATGAAAACAGTATAACTCCCCAGAATTATTATTACTCAAGATCAAAGAAATGAGGCATACTTTACATAGCAAACAGGGACAGTGTGTTCAGTTCCTTCTCTCTCTCTCCCTTTCTCTTTCTTTTTACTTCTACTTCCCCAAAATTAGAATCTGGGAGAAGGTGAGGGGGGGAATCTCCACATGTGTAAATTTTAACCAGTTAAAACAATTAGCACCAGATAAGAGGACTGACCAAAGGTAAGTAAATTGAAAACTATGCTAGCATGACAACTGGCACTATAAAAATGAGAAGTTTGCCAGTATGCTCATTTTATTCTTCCTCATAAACTGTAAACAAGCATGTAAATCAGTGTCATATGGGCAAGGCTGAGCTAACAGGAAGGCAGAGAACTTTTAATGACACATTCTACAGAAATAGATGGTCAATAGGGAAAAAAAAAGCCACAGCTGGGTGCATTTTCCCTCTGTGAATCAATCTCACTTTTGGTTCTGTAGTCTAAACAGAGATGAAGACGATTTGTGGAAGTTACGTCCTTGAATATGCCCTATATTGCAGAAACAATAAACAAATATGGATGCCTCTGTAACTGCACAAAGAAAATTCCAGTCTAGTGACTGAAATACAAAGAGAAATATCACCTACCTGTATCCAGAATCATTACAGGAACAAAATCATTGTCAACAAAAATGATAAGAGATTTTATTTATGGAAAGAACTATATATTTGTATCAATTTTTTTTTCACTTAACCTCTGTGAGCAGACACAGTTATACACACATAAATCTCCAATTCCACGAATGTGTCCATTTATATATGCAAATAAGTTTACATTTTCTGTGTATGTGTACATATACATACACAGAGTGGAAAATCTCTGCTATGGTATTTATGGATACAACTATGGACTGAGGGTCTATCCTGGGTTCACAGGATATGCAAAAACAGAGCAGGCACAGCCTTGTTGGAAACTATCTACTATGGGATCTAATTTTGACTGAGTTGAGCAGGTAAAAGGAAAAGCACAGTGAGATAGAATGCAAATCACATAATATTTTAAGAGATTACAATTTCTTGTTGCAGTTCTAGTTTTAACAAATGTCCTAGAGGTATTTTATCCTATAAAAGGAAACTACATAGTTATACAAAAGAGTACTAGCGTAAAATAATGTACACATAGCAAGAGGGGGAAATATCACTAACAAGATGTTGTTTTCATCACCCACTTTTAGAGCATATACTACCCTCTTAAAAATCCCTGTATTTCATAATTAATGTGCTTTTAGCTTGACTAAAACTGCGTTAGTTTTGAACTTTGCTTTGGCAAGTACATATATTATTAGACTTTTTCATCAGTCTAAATCAATTAACAGAAATTTGATTTCAATCGACAGGATAAAAGGAAGGTAATATTCAGGTTCATTTTTGATTGTGATGATACATCTCACATATGGCCTTAAGTACAGAAAACAGTACTCAGAGGGAATCCAACAAAAAGAGAATTGCCTGAGGCAAACTAACCACATGAGTTCCCCTGATTGGTTAGTGCTATCATTAGTGCCACTGCTGTTTAAGAACTACACATGGACAGGACAGGGTGACAGCTAAGACTTTAAAGCCTATGTATTTTTCAAACAGCTTTTCAAACTGTTTTTCATGACAGAAATTTTTTTCAGCTCTATCATTAACTGCTGACAAGCTGACAGAATAAATACTTCAGCCTTTCAGAAACCATCTAACAATCTTTTTTTTTCACCCCCTCCCCTTATTTTTGATGTGGGGGGAGGAGAGGAGGAAGGAAGAAAGAAAGGAGATGAAGATATGAGTTTCTTACAGTCTTACCTCATCAGTTTGGGTGAAGAGTTGGGTGAATTTCGCATGCCTCCATTTCGCTGCTTTTTTTTGGGTGATAGTGTCGACGGCTGCTCATCTTCAACTGGAAATATAAGGAACTCATGAGATTAAGTACTGCTCTGAGTGCAATGTGAAATACAAGTGAAGTAGCAAAGAACACACACTCTATGTCCATTCACGCACTGATACTTCATTGCTAACATAGGCCAACAGTAATAAAAATCAAATACATGTTAGTCGAAGAGATTGGTTTGAAGGAGAAGCAGAGAAGAATACCAGGGTTTTGAACACAGGTGTTCAAATTGGTTTCATACTTCAAAAACAAAGGCGGGGGAACCACATTCGGGTTATTCTTAGAGTTATTATCAGTTAATCTGCGCTACAGAAAAATAGAATTAGTGCTCTGCTGTATTCCCAGACAGATAAAGAACTATTTTCAATATCAACATAACAGCTGCCAGCCTGCTTTTGCTAATGAACTAGACACCAGTTGGTTTTCGCTCCTCACATGCCAAACAACAGAGTCTTCATGAAGAGATGTAAAATATTCAATGCCTTGATGTTCAATGATTCAGTTAGTCGGGAATGTGAATGCAGCCTGCCATTGTGCACAGATCTCCAGCACAAGTCAGACCTCATCGCTCTACTCTCCTCCCAAAACGGAGCTTTAACAGGAGTGAACAGAATGAGGTTGAATGGAAGTGGGGAGACAATACCTGTATAACAGAGAATGCATGTGTTATGCAATCTTTTAATGAGGATGAGGTGCATTTTCAAGGACAGATTGATTTCCAGATAGAAAACCACTTAGAGTTTTGTCAGTCATAAACTACTCTTGGATAACTTATGTCACAATATGTATTGCTTATACAAGTGCAGCTTCCTAAGAACTCATCTATAAGAATTAACCCGCATCTTTACAGTTTTGAGATTGTAACTGCACTTGATAATCTGTATGTAACTTTTACATGTACTATCAAAGGGAATAAACTCATGCCTGCTTTCTCAGGTTCATAGTAATGCTACTTTATTCTGGTACAAAGAAGGAAAAATAAACTTTTTCCCATCCTACTGTTAACTGAAAAATTAATTAGAAGATACTATAACTGATGCCTAGGAAGCTTTTACTTTAAAGCTAAAAGGAAAGACATCAGTAGTAGTAATAGTAGCTGCTATATTTAAAGAGCTTAGTACACATTAGTGGTGCACAAGCAGAGGTTGAGAAAAAATACTACTTGCAATAAGGTACATAAGAAAAACAACAAAAATGGGATATATGTCACCTGCACCAGACTTATCTGTGCAGAAATTAAACAATAGTCTTTTGCTATAACTCTCTTCTGACACTACTTTATTACAGACTGCATTCCAGCCTACCACCTCTGTCTGTTTGCCCAAGCCTGCTATGGAACTTCATTTTGCCTTGGTCAACACCAAAGGGCTGAGCCCTGAAAAGACAGATTTTGCTTTTAGATGACCTGGCATCATCTAGAACAAGGAAGTCACAACCAAAGAAACTCTGCAAAGAGAAAAATCAAACCCAAAGCAACCAAACAAAGCTAATCCTAAAATAAATGTGCCAAAGAGTGGTGTAAAAGATAATACTTAGATCAGAACAATGACTGTCTAATAATGATTTATTCACCAAGTTTCCTCTCTTCTTAGGCAGCATCCCTAAAGACAAAGGAATTTTCTTCTCATTTGACTTTTCTTTCTTTTTCCAAATCAAAGTCCTATAGTATAAATGCTTATTGATGGTTAGTTAAATGCCTCTCAGTCAAATTTGGCTGGGAAATAAATAAGCCCACAGAAAATTCTCAAAAATACACAAATTGAAATTTTATTTCTGTGACAGTTTGCACATATTAAACTAGATCACTTCAGTATTTAGCTACATATACCATGAAGTGAACATGCACAGAATTGGTTTTTTGGTAATATCTTTGCAGCTCTGATTGCAAAAAAGCACAAGTCTTTGTGCTTTTTAGAACACCTTCTTCAAATTATTCCCTTGAAAATGGCCTAGCCTTGTTTTAAACTTCTCTACCAAAAAGTTATTTGCATGCTATTCCGCACAGACAATAGCTTTCAAGATATCCACTGTGCTCTCTTGTTCTTTATTGTATATAAATATTCAGGTTCCACCACTTAAAAGATCAAATGAACAAGAATCATGCAAAATTTTCCTTCCAGAAAACAACAAATGATCTGTTTTACTGTCTTGGGAGTGAAAATTCTAAATTTCACTCAAATCATTCTGTTACCATGGGGTTACAGAATGTTTGTCCACCGATGCAGTATGGCACCACAAGTGTGCTGTTATACAATTTTAGCAGTTCAAGGGAGATACACATCCATCGGGACCATAGGCAAAAATCTTACAGTAACACAAGTCAACTGTAGATAATATTATAACCAGAAATATTTCTCTGCTTAAGAGAAAACAATATTAAAAAATAATATTCTTCCAGGTTTTCAGCTAGCTAATAAGACTTCTTCTTGATCCTTTCAAATTCTGTAAGTTAATACAATGAGGATGCTTTTGTACTATATGGTCCAACATTTTTGTTCTGCAGTGCTGCCAGGTGATGTTAACCTGCTGCCCAATTAAAATCAAAGTCTTACTTTGTAACCACCCAAAATAACAACTTTTAGAAGTACATTTCTAGCAGTCTGCACTTGTTATTGGTACCACATCTGCAATAAATAAGCTTCCTTTTTGGATATGTGCTTGTCATATTCAAATCATGTTACTGTCACCAGTTGCCTGCAAAGCCCCAGGTTGGCAAGGCTGACTAATTAATTCCTGTTAGCAAAGCCTTCTGAGGGCTCTCAGTTTGTTGCTTAACCAAGAAAGGCATTTATTCTCATTGTAGTAATGGAAGTAGATCTATATTCATCATATGACAGAAAATCAAGTTTTATTTTTCATTGAAATCTCTGCACAGAGTTTACAGGGCATCTGCAGTTTAGCAACACAGCTCCATAGGAATGGGGGAAGGGAACACATGAAGTTGAAATACATGAATAGTATCTAATGGACACTATTACCTATGGTTTGGTTCCCAAAAATGTTGCAGTGATAATTCACAAGTGGTTTCTTAGTAGTAAGTATATATTTAATTATTATCCTTCAGATACTCCTATCAATTTCCTGCCTATTTAAAGAAGTGGATCTAGCAAAATTTTTAGTAAGGTTATTAAATATTTTAGTTTCATGGTTTCTGTGTCTGCATTAATTTAAAAGGGAGTCTTAAAATCACTTGTTCTTATGAAAGACAAACATATTTGCATAGTGGGGCTGTGATATATGACAAATAAATTCTGATATTGTATGCTTATTTTTGTTAATGAGTTCCCATTTTTTATGTCTTTATACTACAGGATTTTTATTAACTACAGCCACATTATGTTACAGAGACTTTTTCTACCACTTTAATGAAAATTGGAAGTTCAAGAATTGGACACAGAGTTTTATAGATTTGGAACTCGGAGTTCTAATAACATTCAAGAGCTTGTTTGCACATCCCTAAGTATAACACTTATTGTACTGCTGTAACAACCCAGAGCTCACTTGTCTAATAACAGTTTTGCAGTTCAGGAAGACTCAATGCTAAAAAAATGTCAGGCGAGCCTAATGAGGCTTCAGACACTCAGTTTTATGCTGGAGTTTAATTTAAAGTTACAGTGATGTTTTAACATGTTTGCTTATTCTTGAGTAAAGAGTGTTCATTATTTCAATGACATAACCTCCAGACAATGTTCCACGAATTGGTTTAAGATGTGCTGGTAATTTTAACAGTCTTAATATGGAGTTGAACATCTGTAGCAACATATCACTTGACTTTTATCCTCATTTCAATTTTAAAGCAAAAACAAAGAGTAAGTCTTCCAAAACAGGGGACAAGTTCATAAATTTTTTCTTTGTTATTTTCTAGCTATTTTTAAAACAACACTGTCTCGTTCACTGGCTCTCCCAGGTCACTAGCTGCACTAATTTACAGATGCCTTTTTAGACACCAAAAAGAGCTGAAATTTGAAATAACATTGATGTTACTGAACATCACATGAACTGGGATACCTGGTAAGTTCATTCTGCCTAGCATGTAAATGCTCCAAAGCAATTAAATCCTTTGAAAGGTAAAGCACAAACCACCCAGAAACATTAGTTGACTAGCTATCTCAACTTATTAATCACCACATCTGGAGAAACCCACATCTGTAAGCACTTAACAGAGCATTAGTAATGTCATAGTCACATTGAAAACAGACTGCAAAACCATGCACAAGCCATTCTGTATTGCCTTATGCATCCAACTACTGGGCTACCTACGGAGATCTTGGTTCAACCCAGGTTTTTGGGAATGGTAGCGGTATTTTACAGGCAAGCTGAGTGCCCTTTGCAATCTACAGTAGGTAGATTTTCCTTGTTCAACAGAACTCAGTAAGTTAAGGTGCAGCAGCGAGGGGTTGTTGGGTAGGAGGAGGCTCCCTTTACGGTTATTAACAAGTGGAACAGGTTCCGGGATTCCTTCAGTGGACTTGGCATCAATCAATGCATTAGTAGTTGCATTCTTGAACTGATATGAACCTTTTGGGTAACTTGGTCTAGCTGCATTCTTTACTTCTAAATAATAAGAAAAAATTTAAATTAATTTCTTTGTATTAAAAAAATATTTAAAACCACAGGCATGAATCAATTTTGATATTATGTGGAAATACAGACATTAAAGCTTAAGGTAGCAGTTCCAACAGCAGAAATTAAGGTTTATACCTGCAGCTTTCTTATGTTGTTGTTTCTTTTTTTCCTCTAAAAATGACTCTTTATAGAAGAATACTTATAGAAGGATTATTCAACAATATTATCACCTTTAAGCAATAATCCCATCCTATGGTAAGTATGTCTGAGGTAATACTTATTTCCCCATGTTGATAAGGGCTTTGAGATTTACTATCTGTGGAAGATGTTTATTTCTTTGAAACTACTGAAAATGACAGGGGAGGTAAAGCACTCTGCTGCTATTAAAATAAATAAGGAATCATAGAAAACATAAGGTCACCACTTCAAAATTGTGCAAGCAT